CAGTTTATAATAGAAAACTGAGGCATAAAGAGGCAAATACAGAGATTTCAACAAAACATGTCCAGTTCAAGAACACATTACCATAGCTCAGATCACAGACCAGGAAGACACTTAAGAGATAAGGTCTGAAGCACTGGACACCAGAATGCTGCTGCTGTGCCACTCAAGCTCTCCATTAATGTCCTAATCAGGAGCGACAGCTGAGATTAAAAAAAAGAGCCTATCTCAATTAATCCTCGGCAAGTTCCTCTAATTGCTGGGAACTAATTTGCATTTGGAATCTTACAGGAGAGTATAATAAATGTAGTATTTAGCCTTCCAGTCTTTGAAACTTCTTTTAAACCTAGAAAGAAGTTGGAATGAATGGTGAGTATGAATTTGCCATATCCACTACATCAGGTTTGAGCACATTAGGATGCTTTCTAATGCTATGGAAGTTTTTAGACATAGGCTAAGGGTAAAAAAGAAAAAAAAAATTATCACGAGAGAAGAAGAAAAAGTAAATGAACAAAAAGGATTTGAAAATGGGCAAGAGAAAACAAAAATGGGTTATTTTAAAATATTGTTAAGTGAAAATATTTGAAGTAAAATACAGTATAAATTGAGACAGACTGGAAAGTTAAGAGGACAAGGAGAAAGTTTTCTAAAAGATTTCTTTTCATTTACTGATATTTTATTAGTGCAGAGGCTACCATTTGTGTAAAACCTCAGCATAGAGACAAGATTTGATCTTTTGTCTTCTGATTGCCATTGACATCTGGTTTGATGTTACATTTGAGAAATATTGAGGATAAAATATAGGACAATATAAGTTAAAGGATGAAAGTGACCTTAAATGTTCTTTTATCTGCCTTTATTATTGCTAAGTAGTTATCCAGTTCATACCTGATTCATTAAAATGTGTATTAGATAACTCCTATGCGCTAAGCACTGTATTAAGTAATGAGGACCCAAAGGTCAATAAGACAGACCTAGTTAGTCTATGCTTCATTATATTCAAGTGCATGAAACAGAAGACAAGTAAACATAAAGGGGAATAAACAGAGAATAAGAAGATAAGAATTGTGAATGACTGTAAATAGCATGGTTAGGGTATGATGGTAGATCAATATTCCAAAAACACTCCATCCAGGGGAAAAAGAAAATATGGGAAAGACCATCATTCTTATTGTGTCATAAAGAAAAAACTAACAAGAAGCACATGTTTTTGTAATACAGGCAAGAGATGATTTAGGCTTAGACTTAGAGTGATGCCAGTTGAAGTAAAGATAAGTGGATTGAGTTGAGGCATATTTAGAGGATAGGACTTAATGCTTCATTGACAATAGAGCATAAGGTAAAAAGAGCAGTAAAGAATGACACCAAGGTTTTGATGTGAGCAACTGCGTGGAGAGTGGAGAGTGGCGCTACTTATTGGTTGATTGGTCATAGTTTATTGTATGTCAATTATACCTCAATAAAACCATTTTTTATTTTTTATTTTTATTTATTTATTTTTTTTTTAAAGATGACCGGTAAGGGGATCTTAACCCTTGACTTGGTGTTGTCATCACCACGCTCAGCCAGTGAGTGAACCGGCCATCCCTATATGGGATCCAAACCCGGGGCCTTGGTGTTATCAGCACCGCACTCTACCGAGTGAGCCACGGGCTGGCCCAATAAAACCATTTTTTAGAAAGGCAAAAAGAAGATGCTATCAGAGAATAATCAGGGCTATGACAGTGATACAGCAGGCAAGGTGACTTGCAATAAGTGTTATATATATGTATATGGTGGTGGGGGGCCTGTCATTATGTAGGTTGTTTGCTAGGTGAGGCAACTTTCATTCCTCATTCATACCTGCTCATTAAATACATGTTTTAACATTTAATTTCCTTTCCTTTTTAATTTCCTGTCATCCTTTCTGGGATGACTTTTCATGGCCTCAAATACCACCTTGGAATCAGAAAACTCAAACCCAAATTTCCAATTTTGACATCTCTTTTGGCTCTGAACCTGAATTTCCAAATATCTGTCTATCTGTATTAGTCAGTTTTGTGTTGCTATAACAGAAATATCTGAGACTGGGTAATTTATAAAGAACAGAGGTTTATTTGGCTTATGATTCTGGGACAGCTGCATCTGGCATGGGCTTCAGGCTGCTTCTACTCATGGCGGAAAGTGGCAGGCAGCTGGCAGGTACAAGCAGATCACATGGTGAGAGGAAGCAAGAGCATAGGGAACTAATAGAGCGAGAACGCACTCATTAATCCCTCCTCCTCAGTGAAAGCATTAATCCATTCATGAGGGATCTGTCCCATAACTCAGTCTCCAACATTGCCGCATTGGGGATCAAATTTCCACATGAGTTTTGGAGGGGACAACACATCCAAACTCCATCACCATCCAACTTATCCACAGATGTCCCTGTCACAATTCATACCTAACATGTTACAAACAACTCATCCTACCCCTCCATGAAACATTACTTTTTGTGTATATACCTTATCTGAAGTAACTTTCTTTTTTGTCATACAAATTACCTTCACACCAATCTTTTCAGTAGGTGCTGTAGTATGGGTGAGAGGCAGGATAAGATGGAAGACAAAAATTATGGTCTTGAAATCAGATATGGTTCTGATCTTTACCATATAGCCTAAGCCAATTAACTTTTTGAACCTTACTTTCATGGTTAGTAGATAAAGTGTAGATTTTATTACTGTTCTATGTGAATCTGTGGTTCCCAGACTGGCAGCACCAACAAGACATGAGAGCTTGTAAGAAATACAAATCTCAGAATTAACCCCAAAATAGTGAATCATTATCTGCATCTTAACATGATCTTCAGTCAATTGATTGGCACATTTATATTTGAGAAGCACTAGTTTAGCCCACCTTTACTATTACAAAGGTGTTATCACCTTCAGGGGAGATCAATGGAGAATCAAAAAAGCCCCACTTGCAACTTACTAGATCTGCTGTTCCAATTATTGCTGATACACCTATTTATCCACCCATCAATTAGATACTTAATTCAGGCCCTTCACAGCATTGACAGATGGATTATTGACTTTAACCAGAAATCTGTGAAATATCAGGACATGAGACTGAGTTTTCATGTACCCCAAAGTTAATACCTGGAATATTTGGAAAATGTGACCAAATCTTTGACTCACATGGGGCTATTGCAATAGTTTACAATTTAAGAACAAAATCTCTTATACCATAACACTGCCTAAAGCAAAACTGTTTCTATATTTTACTACTACTAATTAACATTTATTGAGCATTCACAATGTACAATGCACTGTGCTAAGGGAGAAGTCTTGTAGATGTTTAATATTTTATAATCTAATCCCATGTTGCTATTGACCTGATACTGCATTCTAGAAGTTCCCAGGCAATGCTGATGCTACTGTTCTGAGGGCCATACTTTTGAATTAAAAGACTGTAGACCAAGAAGTGTTATATGGAGGGCTGACAGGAGAACAAAAAGTCAGGGCAAGGGAGAGAAAAGACTTTGGTTTCCCCTTCTTTGAGAATCAAATGTTCTCGGATGCTCAGAATAAATTATGTTACATAAAACTCAATTGGGAGAACTCTATCACCAAGAAATTAATTGCAGCACTTACAATGGCTTATATTGGGAGAAAATCCAATGCTTATGAAGACTACTTCCTCATTTGGAAGGTAAAATTGAAAACTTCAGTTACTAGCTAGGTCTTTCCTATGTGCATATTCCATCTTTACCTAGTGTTTTAAGTCTGTTCCTTGACTTTTCTAAACTAATTTCATAACATGTAAAGTGTACTATCTTCATTGTTGCATTTCCTAAATCAGCAGTATTTGTTCTCATTTCCTTTGACCCAAAGGTTGTGAACATTTCAAGAATTCCAAGTACGCAGTTTTTCAGTGTTTAAACATATTACTTTCTAGGCTTTTCTGCAATGTAATCATTTGTATTTTCTGGAAATTAAAGTTTTCTCTGCATCCTAGTATAAATCATTCAGACATACTTCAGGCTAATTTTCAAAAATGCAAATAAGGTAACAAAGAAATATATATTATACACATTAAGTATTTACCCTTCAACTATCTCAAATTTCCATTTACTTAATTATCTAAGACCTTGTGTTGAAGTCAGGTCCAACACAGTTTTTGCTATATGTGTTTTAATTGAAAGATTTCTTAATGAACTTTAAGTACATAAAATACACTAATTTTAAACATACAGTGTTTTCAAAATGTGTATACTGGTTTAACATCAATAAAACTACCACCCACATCGACATAAAACATTTATTTTACATATTAATGCCATGTTATTTATCACATCTCTTAAATGTTACATCCTGTCATTGTGTTTTGTAAATATAAACTATCTTGTTATATGCTTGGATTCTGTCTAATAAAAATGTTGCTCTACTTCTGACTTATAATTTCCATTAGATTCATACTATCTTTCTATTTTTCCGTGAATTTTTTGAAGTACCCTAGTATGTTTAAGCCCTTTTATCCTTTGTTTTACAGAAAGGAATTACAAGGCAGAAACTGATTTTGGACCCAATATGAATCTTTGTAGTAAAAATACTAAACCAGTTTATGGGTATGATAATTCATCTGTACCTCTGTCAGTTTATTTTATGCTAATTTTAATGTTTCCTTGCTGTTTTTTTTTTTTTTTTGGTGGCTGGCCGGTAGGGGATCCAAACCCATGACCTTGGTGTTATAAGGCTGTATTCTAACCTGCTGTTTTTCTTTTACTTAAACAACCCAAAATATTGGAATGTATATGTTTTATTTTTGTCTGCAACACTTATCTCAATATCAAATTTACTTAAATTGTTACCAAACCCAAGTCTGGCTGCCTGCCCCATACAAAAAACCTTGGTTTGGCTTGGCTTGCCAAAATCTTGTTACCCAAGGGCATTCAGATCGTGGCTTAGGCTTGACAAAATCTGCTACCGAACCTAACTCCAGTTGCCTGCCCCGAATGAAAAACAAACAACGTGAAAGTCAAATTACTGATGGAATAGGAAGTCAGCTTTTACTCAGGAATACCAGTGACCTGAAAAGAGATGTTAGGCAAATCCATCTTTCCAGTAAACCTGAGGGAGAATGGCCAGACTAAACCCATCTCAAAGGCTCAGATTTACTGAGGATTTTTAAAGAGGTGGTTGAGGGAATGGAATGTGGGAAGTGAAAAGGAGGGAGGGGGATGTGAGCTATTAGGGCTCTGAGCAAGGAACCAGATGCAAGGTCTTGCCAAGGCTCAATCTGGTTTCTGTTCCCATCCTTGATGTTATCTCAGGGTCTTGCTGGATTTTGATGAACTTCAGGATGGAATCTGTATAGCTTTATTGATATCTTCTTTGGTTTCCTGGGATCTGGATAATTTGTGTCTTGTGGCAAGTTTGTTATTCCAGGCTAACTGAAAAACAACTTTACATTCATGTAAATAATACCATCTTACCTTGAAACCAAGGTTCAAAATATCAAATAACCATGGGAAAGGAGGGAACACAGAGAAATGCATGCTAACAAGAAAACTGTCTTTTAAAATATTCTAGAGCCCATGCATTTTAGGTCCCAACATCGCTTCAGTCCCGTTCACTCCAATAGTATGAACTACTACATGATGCAGTAACTATTGTTTTCCCCCATGCAACATTTACATAAAACAAGTTTCTATCCATCCTCCTCCCCAACCAGTGACTTCGAAGTTTTCTTCTTACGCTATCAGTATTTACATTATAGACAAATTTACTACTTTTTTCCTTTAAGTACAGTAAATAAATTTTATTTATTCATAAAATAAAACTATACTGTTTTCCAGTTTTGACAGTTTAACATTTAGAATGTCTTTACTCTACTTGTCCTTCCACAGTGACAAGCCCTTTTATTTTAGTTTGAGAATACACATATCCTTATCTATAATACTACATGCTAAAAAGAAAAAGTATGTATTTGCCCAATAAATAGAACATGTGGCATACTCTTTCAGTTTAAAACTACACAAACTGAAATTTTAAACCCAGTTTACAAATCTATTTAGGTATTTATTTTTATTACCCTACATACAACAATTTAAACTTAAGTGCTCTTTAACTAGTTCTAATGCTTACCATTAATTCTTTCATACAATTGCCTCCCTACTTGTGAGTTACTTCAGTTTATGTTCTCTGTTTGCTGCAGTAAATCATTCAGCAAACTTTTCAGGGAAGGTTCCTGGTTGACATACTCTTTTAACCTCTGCATATTTGAGAATGTCTTCCAGGTGCCCTTGTACAGAAATGATAACTTGGCAGGGTATATAATTCTTGGCACAATATTATTTTCCCTTAAAACTCTGAAGATATTGTTCCATTGTCTTCTGGCATTTAGAATTGCAAGAGAAAAATCTGAGGTCAGCCTGACTTTTGCCCCTTTATAGGTAACTTGCTTTCTCTGTCTGGATACTTGTAGAATTTTTTCTTTATCCTTGAAATTTAAAAATGTCACCAGAATATGTCTAGGTGCTTGCTTTCTTTTCATTGAATTTTAAAGGTACCCTGTGTGCTTTTTCCATTTGTAGATCTAGCGTGTTCAACTTTGGAAAATTTTCTTCAATTAGCTCCTTAATTACTGTTTCAGCTCCATTTGCTCTGTCCTCTGTTTCAGGTATTTCTATTATGCGTAGATTGCATCTCCTGGACCGGCCTTCTAGGTCTCTCTTTTTCGCCTCTTTTCTTATCTTGATTGCTCTTCCTTTTTTCTCTGCATTCTGTGACACTTTCTCTTGTTTTGCATTTACTTCAGTAATCTGATTTTGTGGACAATCCAGCTTGTCTCTTCTCTGTTAACTCTCTCTGCTCCGTGATACATTTCAAGCTCTCTGCCCATCCCTTCTCCAACGCTGAGGATAGTTTGTTAAACTCCCTTGTTATACAATTCCTAAATCTTTCTATAGCTTCTATTTCCGGCGCTACATCCGTTTCAAGGAGGCATTTTCTCGATTACTTATCTCTGTTCCTTTCTTCTGAACTGCAGTATTATGACCTTGAAAACAATAAACACAACTTAATTCCATAGCATTTGATGCAGCCCAAGGATCCCCACTGATAATTATGGACAGTTTTATTAAAATGTTTCGGTTTTTTTCCTTACCTTTTCAATGGCTCCTAGCAAAGAGGACCAAACACGAAAATTAAGGGAGACCTTCCGCTGCACGGAAAATAAAACGACCCAAACGGCTCCCGTTACGACATACGTCATCTCTGTGCGCCTCACCTCAGGGTCAACAGCTGGAGCGTAGCCCTCCTGCCGAGGGGCTCAAGCGCGTTGGTCAATCAGAAGGCTGCAAACTCGGCGCGCCGCTCGCTCCTCCTCCCCCGCCCGCCCCGTCAGAGCCGGGTCACGCTAGTGCGCACGCGCAGTGTCCATTCCACGGTCTCCTCGTTCCAATGGCTCGGCTTAGATCCGGTGCCGCCTTGAAGGCGGGGCTGGATCCCAGCCGTGGCCAATGGCTCCCCGGGTGAAGGTTGAGAGGTACAAGGTGCTTGCTAGCTGGTGGTGCGGGTTTCTTCCAGCGCGTGTGCTGGGCTACCTGGTGGTCATGGAGGCAGGCTTGACTGAAGAGCTCGATGAGGAGGAGCAGCTGGTGAGAAGGCATCGCAAAGAGAAGAAGGAGTTGCAAGGTGAGGGGAAGAAGGAGGGAATCTAGAAGTCACCCAACCCAGAGAAGGGCGCGCGGCGGGCCGGTTCTGGGGAACCTTGAAGAGCGACTGATCTGAATCCTCCTGGATTTTTCTGTCCCGCGTCCGCTGCCGCGGAGGCCCTGTAGCCCCCCAGCCTCAGCGGCTTCTTCTGAGACCTGCCTAATACCCCCTACCCGCCCCGCCGCTCGGGTGCCGGCCTCAGAATACCTCCAAGCCACGGGCTTGGGCCCAAACTGGTCCCCTCCCAATCCCCCTCTGCCTCCCTTTCCTAATCCTGCTCCAGATACCGACACTTGGCCCTAAATGGGTGCGTTTCGAATTGCCACACGTCAGTTTTGAGGGCGCGGAGAATTATTTGAAAGATTTAAAACCTGCTTCAGTTTTTTTCTTCCTCTTGTCCCCGACAACCCAAACAAATTAAAGGTTATGTTAATGAGAATTTTATTTTTATTTTTGGTCTTAGCTTCATCTAGGTCCTTCATTGTAGCTGTCTGTTATGCAGTGACCTTCTTGCTTCCATAATTTTTCTATAACTTTTCCTCCCTTATTGGTTCCTGTTTCTCATTTTCTCTTACTCTGGGTTTCTGACTTAATGATTTTGGTGGCTTTTCAGCCAAAATTCAGGGTATGAAGAATGCTGTTCCCAAAAATGATAAAAAGAGGAGGAAGCAACTCACTGAAGATATTGCCAAGTTAGAAAAAGAAATGGAACAGAAACATAGAGAGGAACTGGAACAATTGAAGCTGACTTCTAAGGAGAATGAGGTATATGAAATAATGTTTGTCTTTGCCTACAGTATTTGAAAACAACTGTCCATTTCTGTTAAACTGTTTATTTGATAAAATCATAAAATTGGTTGGGAAAGTTACTCATGCTCATGCATCAACTCTCATTAATATTTTTGTGACCAGGTTTACATGGCAGTGTGTTTTTGTAAGGTTGATGAGCAAAGAAAGTACACTTCTTTTCCTGTTTACTTGCCCAAAAGATGAACAAATTGATAAAGTGGAGTAGAGGAAGCTTCACCAAAGGAAAGATGGAAAACCAGACTTCTATTCCCAGAATTACCACTGAATGGGATTGGAACTCCGGCAAAGTTACTTAATCTTCCTGAGCATAAATTTCCCCACATTTGATGATACTAATACTTCTGTTGTCTAATCACAGGCTCTTGTAAGAATCAAATGGGACAGCAAATGTGAAATCATTTTTAAATTATGAAAGTATTTTATGAACAAGTTGTAATGAATAAAATTTTACTGATGTCTAAGATAAATTGGAACATGCTAACTTTCATCATTTTAACTAATATTTATTTTATCATTACAGCTATTGTGTGTGAGAAGCACTTTGTGTAACATATTACATGCATTATCTCATTTAATCCTCAGTAACACACTATGAGGTATTACCTACAAAGTAAATGTAGATAATCCCATTTTTCAAGTGGGAAACAGGCTTAGAGAGATTAAGAATTGAGTCCCAAAGTTATCATAACAGCTGTTAAGTGCCTAAGCAAGAATTCAAAATGAGAACTGTCTTACTCTATTACAGCTTTGTATCATATAGTAGTTTACTGCATGGGTTTTGGATGTGGAGGATCATAGATTCCACAACTTTACTATACTTTTGATAGTTAGAAAATTCTTATGTCTGTGCAAAATCTTATCTGCCATAGTTAATTTTATTTGACCCATTTTCCATATGCTGTTGAAAAGGAAAACAACTTGTCTGTACTGATTTACAGTGGTCTTTATGTTAAATACAGTCTCAATTTCTTTAACTGTTAGCCAGTCATCAACATCCTGGCCTTCCTGTGTAACTTAACATACTTTATCTGTAGGTAACAAGGCATGGTGCTGAAGGTGTTTAATTTGTGTTGTCACAGTTGTGGTATTCCTAATTGTGGTATTCCTAATCCCGTCTTTTCTATTAGCAAGATAGTTTTGTTTGCTCTTTCAGGGCTTTCAATTTAAAGATTTCGTTTTTGGGTTTCCAAAGACAAAAATGTGTGATTCTTAAGCTACATATTGTCCAGCTGCTAAAATACAAACTCCTGTTCTACATTGAACTATTATCTTTTTCATTAACTTAAACTTGTTTTCTTTCTGACCACTACCTAAAATCTTACATCATTGCTGTTTTGTTTTTTGGATGCCTCTCTGTATCTTGCCTATTGTCAGTATGGTAGTTTTTAAATTTTAGGAGATTCCCCCCAAAATCATAAGTTTCCCAATTTTACTTAAGTTGGTAGCCGCTCTTTGAAGTCTATCTGATTTTGATATTTTGATCATTTGGGACATAGCCTTTGGAGACTTCTGTCTTTGTGTGTTAGAGGCCTTGAATTGTTTTAGGTATGTGTCATACTAAAAACTAGCTTAAATTATAGTCACAGTAATAAAATACTGACTACTAATCCTAATAGAAGCCTATCATCTTTTTTCTTATTACAAGGATCATATAATATCCATTAAAGTATTAGGATCAGTTTAATACCTAACGATATGTAAGTTAAATACATTTTCTGCTGCATTTACCAGTTTGTAGATGGAAAAGGATAGGGAAACTTCATCTTGTCACTAGAGTCAAGAAACAGTACTCATCAGGTTCTGGCTAATTAAGATGGAGAAGGGCCTCTGCTGCCACATTTGAGGTTATGAAGGTTGTAATAAACCTATAGCTTACGTGTACTGTCAACATTCAGAGAAGGGAGGAATGGAGTGCTTATGAGTTGGCACTTATAGTTAAGTACAGTATTTAGATTAATGGAGTAAACATTCTAAGAAGGAATGAATGAATGAGGGATGAGCATTATTTTTGAAGAGCTGTAAGGAAACTTCTTGGGAATCGGACTAATTCTACCTTAAGAATAGAGACAGGAGACAAAACCATATTATCAAAAACAGTGTCTAGTGGTAGTGTTCTGATTTGAAATGTGGGATTGGATATATTTGTGATTCTCAGTAATTTAATAACCTAATACTTTCAATAATAATTTAAAAGTATTTTTATTGACTTGTTAATGCTTTTTGTTTCCTTCAGATAGATTCTGTTGCTGTTAACATTTCAAACTTGGTACTTGAGAATCAGCCGCCTCGGATATCAAAAGCACAAAAGAGACGGGTATGAAAGTCATGTCGCCAAGTATATAAGTTAGTGCTGTGTGCTCAGTATTATCTTAGGTATAAGAACAGAAAAAATGACGGCGTTCCTTGTCAAGGGACCTGAACTAACATTTATTAAGCACTTGCTGTGTACCAGATACTATGCTTATATGAAATCGCATTTTGTCCTGACAATAATCCTGTGAAATAGGATTCTTATCCCCATTTTATAGAAGAAAATAGGCCTAAGATAATATAAAATAACCTGTCCAAACAGTTCTAATAAGAGAGTGGGACTGGGAAGAGGGAGTTCAAAGGATTTTTTTTTTTTAAATGAACTTATTGTCCCAGGCTTATTAATTCAGAATCTTCAGAGTGTGGGCCCAGGTGATTTTGATGTATAACCTTGGTTAAAAACTATGGTATTGATTGGTGAAACAAGGATTTGAACCTAGAAGCTAAACAAGATATAGAGGTATACAAAATTCTCAGAGAATTATGCCATATAATGGTTAATTACCATTGAAATGCAGAGAAGGGAAAATTTATTACACTGTGTTAAACAATGGGTTGGAATTGGAAGGAAATATAATTATTTAGGTGTAGGATATTCCAAAGAGGAGAAACAACATGAACAAAAACAAATGTGGGAATGAAATATAGCATTATTGAAGAGCTATAAGGAAACTCAT